CTTTTAGACGGTTTGACCACCGAGAGTTCTAAGTTCCACCGAACTGCGTTTGCATCCTTGATCGATGGTTTTGATAAGAAAGCGTAGTCGATAGGTTTCCTATGCATCTGCAAGGATTTCTCGAGATGGCGAGATTGGGGACTTGTGTTGCCAGCAAACGGAGCCATGAGGGGCTACGTTGGTGTCGTAGAATCGTGTGTTGTAAGTATGAGTATAGCTTGGCTATACTGCGTGCATGGTTGCACAGTTACCGTGACAATTGCTTCGACAAGAAGTCACGGGTGTGTTGAGATTGTGGGTAAGTTTTCGGCGTGACCCGGGCACTATGCTGAAACTCAACTCCACGTGTCGACCACGATTGTTTGACCAATGACCTCACGGTCGAGGCACTATGAGACCTGTTGTGGTCGTATGTGCATGTTGTGTGTTGTGTTTTGTGATTTCTCACCTTGGGTGGGTCGTTTTGTGTTTTTGTGTATCGCGCGAGTATCTTGATGGTACCAATCGAGTCTCCCCTTTCGTATGACTAGAGGTGAGGTATACCTTGGTTTGGGGTAAATGTGGGTCTGATATTGTGTGCGGTTAGTCATTTGAGATCCTTACTCGAGTCGGGGACTTGGCTTATCGGCTAGCTTTACCACCGGAGTTATCAGCGGTGCATGATGTGTTTCATGTCTCGATGTTGCGTAGATATGTGCATGACTCGGACCACGTGGTGGACTTCGGCGAACTGCTGGTCGAGCGAGACCTATCTATGAGCAGGTACCGGTGGCCATTTTGGACCAGAGGGTTCAACAGCTGAGGAACCGGGCAGTGAGTATTGTGAAGGTGCATTGGAGCCGACATGGCGAGTCCTGGACGACTTGGGTGAAGGAGGCTGAGATTAGGAGGATATTCCCGACTTTCTCGTTATGAATCCTTTTGTATTCTTTTAGTTCGTTAGTTTTCTTTTGTTTTCGAATTCCGAGGTCGGAATTCCTTTTAAGGTGGGTAGATTGTAGCGCCCCATTTGTTCCGGATTATTTGGAGATTATTATTATTCTTTATTTTATTTCTGGATTTATTTTTTTCGAGCTCGATAATTTTATTTCGATTAAATGCTCTTGATTGCTAATTGTGTTAAATTAATATCGAGCCGAATAATATTACTATTATTTCATTATATCGATCGAACCGATTAACCGAGCCACCGAACAGCCGGCCGCGAGACCCTCCCGGTTTTTCCCTCAACCCGCCACTACCCAAGCATTTTAGTGTTGTATTTTTGAAATTTCAATTCCCCATAATCAGCCTAATCCCACACGTTCAGCCCCTTTGACCAGATATTATGGGATTAATTCTNACCCCCTCACCTCTCTTTTCTCCTTCACGTCCCTCACTCTGCTCTCATCTCTCTCCCTCAAATTTCTTCTTCTTGCTCCAGCCCTCAAAGCTCTCTCTCCCTCCTCTCTTTGTCGCCGGAAAATCTCCTCAGCCATGCTTTGACGTCGGAAGCTGCCGCCCCACCCTCACTCCCCGCGCACGCATCCACCGAAGCTGCACCACCCGCGGCCACCTCCGACCACCATGTTCCGTCCGCAGCACCTGGCCATCATCCTCGCTCGCCGACCAGCCCTCCGCCATCTCTTATCGCCCCTCTCTCGTGCGAGTCGCCTCCGAACGCCGAGCACGCAGACAATTTCCCCGCCGTTAGGATTCGATCGTCAACGAACCTTTCGTAGAACCGAGACACGTTTATTCTTCACCCCTTTGGTAGGGGTGGGCGCGGTCCGGGACGGTCCGAAATTTGACTTTTCCCGGTACCTGTCCCGCTTTAATGAACCAGTCCGGGAACGGTCCGAGATGACCCCGTCCCAAATGGACTGGTATCATTCGGAACCGGGACAAAATGGTTCAGGACCAGGACAAACCGGGACAAACTTATAAACTATAAACTAGAGATTATTGATTCCATTAAAATTTAAAACAAACAACCAACATATTAGTTTCGTAATTTCGATTAAAACAAACACACCAATTCAAGTATTCACTCAAACTAAATTACCAAAGAGTATTGATTCCATTAAAAAATTATTTTGATCCATTAAGTTTAAGTCACCACTGACCAACATCTAAGATCTAACAAAAATATTATCTTTAAAACCAAATTACCAAATGCATTGTTTATTTATTTATTTTTTGTTTAGTTTTGGCTTGGACAATCGGACTTTTATTTTTAATATACACACATACGCGCGCGCACACACACACACACACACACATATATATATATATACATATATATATGCATTGTTTATATATATATTACAAAGCTATATTATTATTGAACCATGAATGCAAAAATGACCTATAGTTAATTATGTAAATGGTACTACAATACTAATATAAAATACAATAATAATGTATAACACACACACACACACACACACACATATATATATATATATATAATATTTTGTACGAAAAAAATAAAATGGGACAAACGAGACGGTACAGGACAAAAGTATTTAAAACCGATACTGATATTGTTTAAAACGGTTCGGTACCGGGAACGGGACAAAAAAAAAAAGAAAACCTTTTGGCACGTTATTTTTCGGAACGGGACCATTTCGGTCCGGTTCGGTATGGGAACATTCGGGTTTTTTGCCCACCCCTACCCTTTGGTGTTTGGTAATATTTACTAAACTCCATTTTTGTACCATGAGATTATGTGATATGGTTGATTGTATATTATAGCATAATCAATTTGATTTCGGATTAAATAAATTGTTATTTCATGTGGTGTAGTATTTTAGATCTATATGGATTTATTTCGAATCCCTTATGATCTGAATCGATCTCGTGGAAATCTCTTGGAATATAGAACATCTTTGTGTCCTGATCACAATGATTTTAACTTTGTTCAAGTTGGAGTTGTATTTTTCAAGTTATGAATTCTTGAAGTTGATGTATCTGCTGCAACTTGTAAAATACGTGGTAAATTGTGTTGTTGCCCAAAAATCATGATATTTGGATATGCTGTTTCCATGATGTGCTTGTACCTTGTGTTAAATGTTCATAAATTTTGGTGGTCATTTGTCTGGGTAAATAATTATTTTCTCAAATCTGTAGAATTTTATTAAATTCATGAAAAATCTAATTCTTGATGTTAATTCATAAAACTCGGTCAGCCTTCTTATTTGACATGGTATTTGATGGTGTGAAAATCCTTGAAATGTTTGAATTCATTTTGTTTAGTTTTTGTTAAAAACGTGTATTTTGCTAAAACTTAGAATAATTATCATAATTCACTTGGTTATTGTTTATCCATGAAATTTTTATATAACACTCCCAGAATGCTACATTTACCTTCATAAACATATTAGGTTCAGATTCTTTCATTTGATTAGTCATTTAAATGCATACTTGTTTTTGTTGAAAACTTGTATTAATTTTATAAAATCACATGTTTGGGTGGTAAGGCTGCTACTTGGTGAATTTGATGGCCTCAGCAATGTTTATTATGTGTCCAAATTTGATATCATAATTCGTTCATTTACCTGGTCATCTAGAAAATGAGGATTAATTGCCAATTTGGTCAATTTAATCGTTGAACATGTTAACTTTTGATTTTGGGAATGATTTTTAATATATGAGGTTCTCTTGACATGTTACATAAGTGGTGTAAATTTTGAGTTAAGTGGCTGAGTATATTGTGAGTCGTCAATCATGTGTATGTGTCCATATTTGGTTCGAGTCGAGTCATCTGTTCCATAATTCCACGAGAACCCTCTACGGGCCACTTAGTCGACGGGTTCGACTAAGTATGTGTGTTTGTTGGACTAGTTGTAATCGAGATTTATCTTAATTTCGTGTAGGTGTCCCGAGGTGTTGACCTCAAGCCCTACCGCTCGAATCGTATTTTGTGAATTTTATCACTGCTATCCGGTGGGTTCATTTATGTTGAATCTATAATTATTGTACTTGTTATTTCGTATAATTGTTTGTCGCAATAGCTTCTGTATGCGTGAGAACCCTAGTCTAAGTATCCCATCGATAGTGACTTTAATGAATGCATAATCAGTGGAGGTCACCTGCCCGTCGCTTCCGGGAGGTGGACGCCCGAATCCGTGTAGAGCGGAGGGGAAAAAGTGGACGTCCGAATCCGTGTAAAGCGGAGGGGTAAATCAGCTCCACTGTCTCCTGGATAAGATCCTATGCCCGTTGCATCCGGGGTGGGAATGTTTCTGGTTACATCCTTGCCGATGTCTGATCGGAAGGTTTGTTGTATGTACATAGGAGGTTTGCGATAGGGCCTTATAGGGAGTTAGATCTGGATTCTATGCATACATTATTTATAGTTATGAATCTTTATGCAAGATATACCGTGCGGTAATGGTGAGTATGATGGTTATACTCACCCCCATTGTTTTTTTTTTTTCTGTTCTCTTGTCCCTCTTTCTATTTTTAGGTTGAGCATGGTTGGCAGCGGCAACGAGAGACGATCGAGTGGTGGTCATTGGATTGATGTGTCTTTTGCTTCCGCTTTTATCATCTATGTTGGATTGCTTGTTTTACATTAGATTATTATGATTCCATTTTAATTACTACGAACATGTTGGTTGGACCATTGGTTCTTGTTGAAGGACTTGGTTGATTTTGGTGAGACTTATGAATAGTTTGGTTTTGTTTTGAACTGAATTTATGCATGTGTAGGTTCTACCTATTTGTTCGTATTTGTTAATTGTTGTTGGTAGTTAAGTAGCGCCCGTTGATTTAAAGTTTTAAATTGGGATTTTGCGAAAAAATAACTCTGATTTTTATAAATAAATTCGGTAAATCCTTTAAAATAAAACGGAGCGTTACAGAGAACCACTCCGGTTGTGGTCTACAAACAACAACACAAATATAGACTACAAGCGTCTAAAGGCAAATGCGCAGATTTGAGCGCTTTAGACTAAACATACAAACAGACCAACACCAAACAACACAATACAAAGGGCCACTGAACATAAGAACCTAGCCCCTACAACCAAAACAAAACAAAAAACAAGAAAACTAGAAATTAAGCATTACAATGACTGAATTCCGACCACTCATTCACAACATTCCGAGCAATTACTGGCTCCGGCATCCACACCTTTCGAAAAACCCATAAATTACGCGACTTCCAAAGCCACCAGAGTATGTACGTCGACAATTGAATCCGGGCTTCAGAAGTGGGGGTCTTTTTTAGTTCTACCATGCTCCACCACCAGTATTTGAACTTAGATATAGGTAGAGTGGCACTATCCTAAGATACTGGTACCAAGCTCCACATCTTAGCTGCTCTGGGACAAGTGAACATCAAGTGCTCCACAGTTTCCACACTTTCACCACAACATTGGCAAACATGGTCTACTTGCATCCCTCTGATTCTCAGATTAACACTAACCGGCAAACTATCAGTGAAGCATCTCCATGCAAAATGTTTTAGCTTGCCCTTCACCCTCGAATTCCAACACCTCATTCTAGCCTTCTTATCAGCATTTGCAGTTGAACTGCAGCCAGGAATATCAGGACTAAGAATTTTCTTCTTCACTGCAACTGAGTAAGCTGAAGAGACAGTGAACTTACCTTTTGCATCTGCTTTCCAAAGCCACCTGTCATTTTCAGCAGGATCCAATCCTTTTATGTCTAGAATGGCTTTACAAGATACATCAGTAAACATATTGTGAATAATGTCTCTGTTCCAAGCTCTTCCATCATCTGTTAACAACTCTTTCACCCATTGCAGTGGCAATTCATTCACCTCTGCTCTAAGAGTAGGCTTCCTAGAAGGTAAACCATCAACCCAAGGATAAAACAAGATTTTAGTATTCAAACCATCCTTCACCTCCTTTCTGATACCTTTCATGTACAAATTCAGTACTTTCACCCAGGAGTTCCATAGCCAAGATGCAGAGCTATGATTTTTGGCTTCCAAAACACACCCTGCAGGGAAGTATTTTTCTCTAAGCACTCTAGTCATCAGTGTGTTAGACTTTGTTAACAGCCTCCAAATTTGTTTTAGGATTAAAGAGTCATTAAAAACCCTAACATCCTTAAACCCCAGTCCACCAGAGTCTTTTGGCAGAGTGACTTTTTTCCATGCCACCCAGCACAGACCTCTCTTCTGATCAGCACCCCCAGCCCACCAAAACTCTGCACTCATCCTAGCAATTTCTTTACAGATACTGACAGGCAAACAAAAGCATGACATACCAAATATTGGAAAAGCATTTATTATAGATGTCATCAATACCTCCTTCCCAGCTTTTGAAAGGAACACACTGCAATCCCATTCAGAGTCTGACAGATAGCATGTTTAACCACCTCACTTGCATTTCTACTGAAGAAAACATTTGACTTGGCAAGATTCACCCTTTGACCTGTAAAGCTTTGGTAAACTGCAAGTATCCTCAACAAACTCAATGCATTTGGTACATCAGCAGCACAACACACTAATGTGTCATCAGCAAATAACAGGTGGGATAAAGTAGTTCCACCTCCAGAAATTTTCAACCCTTGCATATCCCCCTCCTTCACAGTGATCAACTGGGAAAACACCTCAGAAATTCTATTAAAATGATATGGGGACAGTGGGTCCCCCTGTCTGATACCTCTTGAAGGAATAACAAACACAAATACCTTCCCATTAACATTAAAGGAATACACTGCAGATGAAACACAAGAAAACATCCACTGAACAAATGTTCTATGAAAACCCATCTGAAGCATTGTTTTCACCAGACAGTTCTACTCCACCCGGTCATAAGCCATCATCATATCTAACTTTACTGCCATAAAACACTTATTAGCAGATCTGTGCCTATTTAGAAAGTGTATCACCTCATGTGCAATCACCACATTATCAAGAAGTTGTCTGTCAGGTATAAATGCAGACTGAGTTTCATGAATGCAGAATTTAAGACAATCTCTCATTCTAGATGCCAAAATTCTTGCCACTATTTTGTATGAGACACAACATAGACTAATTGGTCTAAAGTGATTTATAGAGACAGGATTATCAACCTTGGGAATAAGTGTCACCATAGTATGATTCCAGCTAGTAATCATTCTTCCAGATTAAAAAAAAAATACACAACTGCAGCACATATATCCTCCTTCAAAATAGGCTAAAAATGCTGGTAAAAAAGAGTAGTCATGCCATCATTATCTGGAGCCTTGTTTGGATTCATAGAGAAAAGAGCAGCCTTCACTTCTTCTTCTCAACAGGGGCTATTATAGCATCATTCATAGCCTCTGTAATTGATTGGGAAATTAATGATAAGACTTCAGTCTCCCCCCAAGAACCCTCTGATTAGGGAGAGAATGAGGGGAAATGAGGGGGTCTTCCCTTTTTAATTTGGTCTTGTAACCTCCCCATAATAATTGGTCAAGGCTCAGGAAGGGAGATAAAGGCTGATTTTATGGGATAAGGGGGTTACAATTTGAATTCAAAAATTCAACTTAAGATGGCCATGCGAGCAAGAATAGCTCGGCCGACAAAATTCATGCGGACGTGAGCCGAGCGGGTGCGCGAGGGTGCAGTTCGGTGGCTCGGACCGATAGTTCAGTATGGTCGCTCGCTCAGTTCGAAGTCCCGATTAATAACAATTATTCGAAAATTAAAATAATAACACAATTCGGCTCGATATTAATTTAATACAATTAGAAATTATGAGCATATAATTGAAATATGAAATCGAGCACGAATAAAATATATCTGGAAAATAAAATAATTAACAATAATAATCTCCAAATAATTCGGAAAAAATGGGGCGCTACACGATATGTATGTCATAAACTCTCCAAAGTGGTATTCGCCACCTCGATCATAACAAAGTGACTTGATACTTTTACCATGAAGCTTTTCCACAACTGTCCGATACTCCTTGAATTTCTCAAAGCATTCGGACTTGCGGTGCAATAGGTAAACGTACCCAAATCTCAAGTAATCATCTATAAAAGATACATAATACTCGAAACCTCCTCTAGTCTGGATCGACATAGGACCACACAATCCAGAATGAATCAATACTAGCACTTCTTGGCTCCTATACCCCTTTGCCGTACACGGCCTCTTGGCCATCTTATCTTCCAAGCAGGATTCACAAGTTGGATAGTGCTCTTCCACTGACCGAGATGTCCACTGGCCACTAACTTTTCAGTTATTATGTACTATCCTAATGTTCCTCTCAGTCGCACCTCGTTTTTACTTTTCCCCTTTCCTCCAAATCGCAGCTTTCTCCCTCAGATTTCTCTTCATCTCGTCCAAATCTCGTATTGTCTTCTTCTTCGGTGAGAACTTGAGAGCATAAACCCTCTACCGCCGAGGAGTGTCAGCCATCGCAAGCGAGCACGCAAAATCGAGAACCGTCCGAGAGGAGCAGCCCTACATCGCGGTGAACAAACTCGGCTATCCATTGCCGCGCCTCAGCCGTGACCAACCGATGTTCGGCCGCTGTCTTTCGAGCCACCCAAGACAGCAACCGCGAGCAGAGGCGAGTCTCGTTTCACGTCCGTTCAGCCACCACGAACCGTGGTCTCGCACCGTGACGAGATGAACTGTCCGAGGTCTACCGTACACGCAACGGGCAGTAGAGGCAGAGATCAGCCGACCACGTTCGGCCCGAGCCTTTGTGTCGGTCGAGCAGCAGTCGAGGGCTGTCGAACTGCAGAAACCGAGAGCCGAAAACCGAACTTTTTTCTCCAGTTTATTCCCCGTAAGTATTATGGCTTATCCTTGGGTTGTCTCTAATCGAACGATGTTAAATGGGTTCCTGCAGCTTGTTTATGTGCTTATTTGACACTCGTGTATGGACATAATGCTAAGCCTTATGATGTGAGGTGATTATGAGGTTGTAAATGAATAAATGTTAGTATGTGATCTCAGTTATTTGGCCTTGGCATATGAGATGGTTGCTTGAGATAAAGGATGTGATTTTGAATTATGTGCTGAGTTTATTTCAAGGTAATAGCATGCTGAAATGATCTTTTCAGAGCCTTGGTATCAGTTTGGTTGGCTTATATGTGTCCTTGTTTTTGGAGAAAAAGATAGAGAAGTTCTGAAGTTTACAATTGTTATGATGGACGATTTTGTATGTTATTTGCTGAGTCTTTTAGATGTCAAGCATGCTGTAAGTGAAGTGTATTTAGAGCCTTTTCCTCATCTATTTGGCCCTTGAATGTTATTGATTCCAGGCATGAGAAAAGAAAATGAAATCGAGGCATTTTGGTGTGGATTTTATTTAGCCGTATGTTATACTTATTCACTGGACTGAATGTATGCTGTTAGCATGAATATATGAATGTTCCGTAGAGTTTATTCTTCAATTCTTAACGCCTTCATGCATGCTAATTGAGTTTAAAAAAGAAAAGAGACTTAAAGGCATGTTTATGTGATTTTTTTTACCATAGGTTTGCCTAAGTTGCTGGACCTTCTTATGTATTATGTGTCTGTTCCTATATGTATTTTACAGCCTTTGTTCTATTTGTTGTGTGGTTATGTCCTGCTCTAATTAAACATAGTGAAAAGAGAAGGCAATATCATGTGTTTTATATGCTTTATTTGATTACCTATTTTGCTGGACTTTATATATATATTTTAGGAGCTGCTATTATGTTTATTTTATGAGTTTTAGTTGATGTTTATGTTGCCTAAGTGTTGGGTTATTTCGAGTTTTTTTTTTTTTTTTTTTTCTTTTTTTTGAGTGGCCTAATCAGCCAAATCAAAACCCGTAATAATGACTAGTGTAACACCCCACTTATCAGAGTAAATTTTTCGCAACTTTTACTTCAAAATACTTATAAATTTTTCGAAATCCTTTGCGTTTAACTCGGGATGCTACTCAAACTTATCCTTTATGAAAATCCGTTTATCTTTAAACTTTGTCTAACATACTAGTATAGACATAAGAAAACAGATTTATTTAAACTTGCATTTAAACTGTACCATATTCATATTGCTGAAATGGTGAAAACTAAAATCTGAAATTTATTAAAATGCAAGTTCAAGTCTTAATATGCGTAGCGGAAATACTTAAAAACGTGATTAATTATACAGATATAACATGTCCATAAATAAATGTCCACAAATGCGCGACCACCACCACCACCTCTGAGCTCACACTTCCGGCCCGACCCTGTTACTTGAAAAACACAATGAGGGTGAGTACTGGTCCTTTTGTACCCCAAAAAAACCCATACTAAAGTAAACAACAATAATAATACAATATCATGATCGTTGATATATATCTGGACTAGAAACCTGTTCCAGTAACTGAAACTGAATCTGTAATCTAGCCGATATCTGATCGGATACGTGTGCACTTTCTGATGGATATTTCTAAGGCAGCTGAGGGCCTCCATCAGAACTTAGAATGTACTGTTAAGGTAACTGAGGGCCTTCATCCTAAGCGTATCAACTGTATTCATACCTCGGACATGATATCAATATTATAGTCAATGTAATACCCAGGCTAGGTCCCCACCTTTCTTCTTTGAAAACTCGTAAGTGCTGAATGATATAGCTGAATCTTCAAGCTACATAAAAAAATAAATCAATATACTAAGTACTATGCTCATATACTCAATAAGATGCTAGAATACTTGATTCTATCACTTATCCAGATTTTAATAGACACTCTAAAAGTTCACTAAATCCAAATTTAAACTTTTAAACTTAAACTCTTCTTTAACTTTTACTTAAGGTTGAATACTCTCATATATAAATCATAACTTCCAAAACTTATATATTGCTATACTCACATGAAACTTAAAATGACTCGGGAGTGAAAATAAACTAAATTTCACATAATAGATAATCGAGTACATCAAAATAGTTTCAACTTTTACCAACATCCTATATATGATTTATAAGGATTTATAAGGTTTCAATCTTGTCTTAAACTTGCTTGATATTAAAATCTCAAACTTAATGCTCATTCAATACAAGTTTTTATCATAAAAATAAATTATGATATTGACATACTAGACCTGAAACAATTTTATAAAATCGAATATTCAAAATATTAAACTGAAAGTTGGTCATATAAGAATTTTTCATAAAAATTTCACTTTAAAAACTCAACCATGTACTGAATACTCTTGCATATAAAATCATCTTGACATGTATGTCATATAGATATTTTAAATCATTCATTTCTCAACATAAAATCATGAAATTTGGCAGTCATGTTCTCAACCCATATATAAGTATGTTTTAAAAATTTCATAATTTTATCATGCATATATATCAAGGTATTAGAATTTTTAAGTCACAGCTGAAATAAAGAACATAAAATTAAACTTGCATGCTTAACTTCAAAAATCTATAACTCAAGCTATACTATGCCAAATGACATGATTCTTTTTCTTATGTACTCCATATTTACATAAGAATTACTCATCTAAATCATACTTTACTAGTTTATTATTATCATTATAAGAGTCTCATTAAAACCGATTACATCTATCATACAAATAATCTTAAAACAACTTTAACTTCTTATATTCATTAATTCAATTATAAATTCACTTCTAAGTCATTAGTATATACTAATATCCATTTAAACTCATCTATAAATTATGAAATTAAGACAAGTAGATTACCTTCTTCTTGTTAGAAAATCGATTCTTCCTTCCTTCACAAATTCTTCACTTCACAAGAATTTCTATAACTTATTCTCTCTAATAAAACTATATAACTTTTGTAGTTCTCTTTGATGAAAATATCTGAAATCTAGGCCTCTATTTATAGGCAAAATTTTTTAGAGAAGAACATTGAGTGAAGAAATTAACCTAATAAACAAATAAAACTTATAAAAATGAACAATCATAAACATTACGATTTCTAACTTGTAAAAGTCACCAACACTTAAATTAATGCTAAAAAATGGACACTGATTGATATCACAATCGGATTCTCAATAATCAAATTTTTCTGTCGGTCACAAGACTCATGTGACTAGTCACACGACTCGCCTGGCTTGTGTTACACGACTCGTGTGACCTCAGACGACTTGTGTGGCTTACCACACGACTCGTGTGAAAAAGCCGAAGCTAACCTTTTTTCTGCTCTTTGTCTACACGACTCGTGTGATACTCCAGATTGAACAACTCTCTTATAACTGAATAACTTGGCCTCGTAATTAATTCAATCATGGAACTGATTCTTTAATTCATAATTAGAAGGGATATTACAATCTGGTCCCCTTAAAATTATTTCCGTCCTCGGAAATACTGAGTTGAAGATACATTCAACTATTTACATATCAAAATTCAAAATCTGGAAACCGAGATCTAATATCAGCTTCTCTCTCCCAAGTGCCATCTGAATCTCCGTGGCAATTCCATTTGACACGAACGAGGGGAATACCTCGCTTCCTTAGCCGATGAACCTTTCGACCAAAACTGCTATCGGCCGTTCCTCGTAAGTTAAATCTGGCTGAATCTGAGTCTCATTGTGCTGAAGCACATGCTCTAGATCACTCACGTATGCACGTAACATCGATTCATGAAAAACATTATGCACACTGGACAACTCGGAAGGTAAAGCTAAAGGATAGGATACTTCTCCTACTCGCTCCAGAACTTCGAATGGATCTATATATCGAGGATAAAACTTTTCCTTCTTCCCAAAATAAATGACACCTCGCATCGGTCGAACTTTCAGAAACACTTTATCGCCTACCTCAAACTGCATCTCTCGTCTATGCTTATCAACTGAAGACTTTTGCCGACTTTGAGCTGTCTTAAGCCTTTCTCGAATCCAGGCTACTTGCTCAACTGTCTCCTCAATCATCTTTGGACCATGTACTCGTCTCTTTCTAACATCGTCCCAGTAAAGGGATGAACGACCCTTACGGCCATAAAGTGCTTCGTAGGAAGCCATCTTAATTGATGCGTGGTAACTGTTATTACAGGCGAACTCGACTAATGGTAACCACTTCTCCCACTTAGCACCTCTATCCAAAATACACGCTCTGGACATATCCTCAAGCATCTGGATTGTCCTTTCGGACTGGCCATCTGTTTTTGGATGGTAAGTCGATCTAAACTTTAACTGTGTGCCCATTGCCTCATGTAAACTCTCCCAGAATCTACTGGTAAATCTGGGGTCTCTATCTGATATGATCGTAACAGGCACTCCGTGGAGCGAATAATTGCACGAGTATATATCTCGGCTAACTTTTCCATCGACATGGTCATTGTCACAGGCATAAAGTGTGCGACTTTCGTCAATCTGTCCACTACTACCCAAATCGCGTCATGATGTTCTGACGACTTAGGTAGGCCTATAACAAAATCCATGGTAACTTCTTCCCACTTCCACTTAGGGATATCAAGTGGTTGTAACAAACCTAATGGACTCTTGTGCTCGGCCTTAACTTGCTGACAGACCAAACACTTCTTTACAAAGTCTG